CAATTATGGTTAAGGTTTCAATTTTTGAAAAATATAAGCAGATACTTTTGTGTATGTGCGTACACCTTCGCAGCATGCTACAACACCCTTTCCTCTAGTTTGCCTTTCTCACTTAACCTACTGAGTAGCTGAGTAAATTTTACAGTTACATAGATTCCGTTATATGGATATACAGTTTTTTTCTTTTTAAGCAATCCCTTAATTTCAATTGTTTTCTGTTACTGCTACTGCAAATAACTGAGTTGCACATATGCCTCTTCACTTTTGTAAGACTGTGTTTGGGATAGATTCCTAGAAATTGGATTGCTAGGTCAAAGCATAACTATATATGTAATGCTGCCAGCTCTTAAAACTCCATAGGACTATATTGCAATAACCGTCAGGAATGTCGGAGAGTGTGTTTCCCTACAATTTTGTTAACAAAGTATGTTGTCAGGTTTGGAATATTGCAAACCTATAGGTGAGAAATGGTTAACTCCACAAACTTTTATTTTTGATTTTTTTTTCTTATGAATAAGGTCACTTTTCACATGGTTAAAAAGCATTTGCAGTTTCCCTTTGAATAGTCTACTCATTTCTCTGGCTCAGTTTCTATAGGGCTGTTGGTCTTTATTTTAGAAACAAGTCAATTATTATAGTCAAAATACAGTTCTCAACCCTCTAATCATGTAACTTCTCAGCTTGTATTTTTTTTTCTTGAAAAGTAGTGACTAGCACAAAAATTCCAACACAGTTATACCAGAATCAAACAGGAGAGAAAAAAACACTGGGCTTGTCATCTACTATCCTCTTGTCAATTAAAAAACAAATTCTGCACCTTACATGCTGAGACATTGCTTAGAATTGAGACTTTTCTCTGCCCATAAGCTTGTCTTCTCCATCTGACATCCAATGGATGATGTTCATCCAATGGATAACCTCTTAGCTATGTCTCACAGGACAACTATACACGTATCTCTGTAATACCGGTTTTCAGTTGTGTGGCAAACTGTCTAGGTACAAGTCACTTAAGCCAAGCTACCTCAAATTCTTTTTGGAAAATGGCAAGGCATTCATAAAAGTCAGTACTCACGTCATTTACCACTTCCTGCTCCACTTCCCTGGCTATAAAATAAAGCAGTTGGAGAAAATGATACCTACAGTCTTTTCAAAGCATTAAATTATCTGGTCTTACATCACTTCCTTTCCAACTCTAGTAGAGACTACCCAAACTGCCTTGAAAATGTAGTTCCAAGTAATTTTTCCAAGTTCATTCCCCAATTCTTTTCAAAATTTCCTCTACTCGTTATCCCTGAAAACTTTTCGTGCTTTGTTTTATATACCACTTGTTTTCAGAGTGTGGGCATTAAGCCGGAAACATCAGCATTACCTGGGAGCTTAGAAGTGCAAATTCTCGGGACCGATCCCAGATTTATGGACTCAAGAAATTGGGGCAGAGGCCCGGCAACACGTGCTTCACAACCCCCCCCCCCCAATCCCTCCCTGTGACTGATACATGCTCAAGTTTGAGAAAGCAGTGACTTAGACTAACCTTAACCACAATTCTTACATTGCCCTTGCTAAAGCTGTTAGCTTCTTATTACACTTTATAATACCAAGGTTAAGTTCCAGATATTTTTTCATGTTTATGGTCTCCCCAACTGGACTATAAAGAATCAGATCCTTAACTCAATTCTATCAAACAACATTGCCTGGTTTTAGTCATGTTCCAAAGTTTGCAAAACTGTAACTACCTATGGCTTTATTTGCTTTATTGTTACCTTGAAAATATCCCAGTATCTCAGTAACAGTTACCTGAAAGCAGTCTTACTGAACATGTAGCAAAACTAAATGTTTGCCTCAGCCAGTTCTCTCAAATCTGCTGTTGTAAAGCCTCATTCTGGGAAAATGTAGATGAAGCTTACAGGTAGGCTCAGTAATGGTCCTCTAAAATGCCCATGTTCTAACCTCTGTGAATATGTTACCTTATGTGACAATAAGGAGTGCAGAAATGACTAAGGATTTGAGATAGGAAGACTCCTGATCATCCAGACGGACTCAATGATGTCCTTGAGAGGGATAATAAGAGACAGCAAAGGGAGAGAGCATGACTGAAGAGAAAAGACATAATGACAGAGGTAGAGGGACTTGAAGATGCTACACTTTTTGGCTTTGCAGATGGAGGAAGGGGCAAAGAGCCAAGGAATGCAAAGAACACAGTTCCCAGAAGCTGGAAAAGGCATGAAAACAGGTTATCCCCTTGAGCCTCCAGAAGGAACCGTCCTGCCAACACTCTGACATCAGCCCAGTGAGACTGATTTTGGACTTCTGGCCACCCAGAACTGCGAAAGAGAATCCATCTTTCCTATTTTAAGCCACTAAGTTTATGGTATTTTATTACAGAAGCAATAGGAAACTAATACAAAACTTTTTTGACAAGTTTTTATTGTGAAATATTGGATTTAGAAAAAAGTACAAAATGTCAACAGTCAGATGTGTACAAGTACAGTATTTCAATAGTCTATACATGTGAACAGCTTACCAGGTTCACCGCAGAATGCATCTTGAGACCAATACAATCTAAAAAGGACTGCAATATTCACAGGCTATTAATACATAAATAACTTGGGCCAAAACGACCCTCACTGGTAAATGCTAATTAATTGCGGAAAACGGGCTAAAAAGCACAATACGGCACACCATAGTATCTCCTTACAGGTCCACATTTAAAGAGTATCAGCTCATTATGTCAATACACTACAGATCCAGGACTGGGACTCAATTACTAGTTTATACAATTGCAAAAAAAATTAAGTTATAAAATACGGTCATGGAATAGAGAGATGGTATTTAATTAGGACTAAATACTGTGAAGCCCCTCAAAGGCTTTAGCCTTGGAATTTACAAAGCTTAATCATTTAGACTGATTTTCAATTTTTAATCTGTTTTGTAAAAAAAAGGGGAAAGGGGCACCTTGTTTTTTAGTAGCAGCTCCAACAAGTTATAAGAACTATTACATAATTTATTTTTAAAATCATAATGACCTCTGTGGACTGATAAATGGCTATGAAACCAGAATATAAAACATTATAAATTTTAAAGAAAGGTAAGGAGTATCTTACGAATTTAGCAAATCCTGCAAACATTAAAATCTGTATTAAGAAGGCATTACCTACCATTGTTGAGAGTACTCAATTTAGGAAGATTATTGCATGAGGAGCTCATAAAAATAAACTGATTTAATTTTTCCAAGTCCGACTGATTCAATCTTTTTGCTATTACTTCAAAATTACCCTAGATTACATGTTTTCAAATTGGACAAAGAATTATCTGGTATCAATGTATAATGACAAGCTATAGGAATAATCTCCTAAAACACCAGTTATCTTAAAAACAATTATAATCATCCTGTGTTCTGAGGAAAGATGATCTTTGATGTGACATTCATAATCATTGTTTGTTTAAAAACAACTTAAAACTAATAAATTTAATAACAGTTTAATTAAAACAAATTTAGCCTTGCCCATAAATTCCTAAGAGAAGGCACTCTCTTCCACTCTATACAGTATATCTAGCAATGCCTGATGCTTTAAAATTGAACTAAACGTCTGAACTGGCATTTATTAAGGAGGAGATCAATTCCATTAAAGACTGGAAACCACCGGATCAGAAAATAATTAGTCAATAACTTTACATAACCTATCCCAACCTACCTTAACCTTTAATAGACAATTTTAAAGACTCTGATATAATTTTTTTATAAATAGTGCCTGTATCTTACAGTAGATTCCAATTTATTCAAAGATAATCATGGATTGATTTAAGTTATTTAAATTTTTCCAGATTTGCTTTAAACTTACAAATCAAGTACGGTGTACATAAATATTAACTTAGATAACCACATATTATAGGGAGAGCAGATATATGGACCACTGCAGAAAAATTATAAATTTTTAAAAAACTTTTATAAAACAAAAAGAAAGCAAAATATGTAACTCACAAAATATGAACATGAAGCCATAGGACATAAAAAATAAAATTACTCTATCAGAAACGATTTAAAATTAAATCTTTGGGGAAGTATTTTTACATAATTCAATGAATTCAGTGACCAACAGCTTCTCATATCACACACAAACCACAAAGTCATCTAGAGTCTATATGCATTATCAGTTCTTAATGCAAACTCAAACATTTTACTAACAACTTTGATTTCCTTTTGAAATAGGCTTCTGTACATATGCATTTATATACAAACATTTATTAAACATGATTTTAAAACAAACCGTATGTACAAAAGATCGGCATTCCTATAAATAAAAACATTAGGTGGCAAAAAGGCACTTGTAAGTAAAAATCTACAGTAGTTTGTACAAAACAGAACACGTTTTACCTTGGATACTGTACAATAAACATTAATTCCTATACGAATAATGAAAATACCAGTTTACTAACTAATGTTAATGATGTAACTTTTAAAAACATATTTACATATATTCTGAAGTTCATTTAATAAAAGCACCATGATTTTCTCCTAAGTTCATGTTGATGCAAAGTAAAAACACAATTACCAAAAAACCAGTGTTCACCATTTTCCTTGTTTAAAAGTTTTTGTATTTCTAAATTGAAAACTTTTATCTGAAATTAGTATAGTGTAAAACACAAAACAAAACCAACCCAAACCCTGCTGCTCTGACTTCTGAAAACCGTAATCTATTATTGCCTGTTGCATTTTCTAAAGAGCACTACTCATGCACTCCTTTACAAGTGTTTAATACTATTGCTGGCAAAAAAGTTCCTGGATATCAAGTAATTAAAAAGTAACTTCAAACCAGTTGAAGTTTTATTTGAACGTTTTACAACTTAAAAAATGCTGTGTATCAGTTACAAAAGTGAATAGGAAACACGCCAATTCATTTGGTGTGCAAAAATATTTCTCCACTACACAGAATTTAAGGGCTTCACAGAATTTTTTTCAAATGTACATTTTCAGCAGAAACACTACATGAGAAACTACTTTCTCAAGGGGATGTTAGTACGCTTCCACTTTTGTCAAACTTTTTACCCTTTGACAATGCTGCGACCTGTTTGAGTAGTTCTCTGTTTTTGGCCTGTGGGAGACAAAAACATTTAAGATGAAAAATGCTTGAAATATTAAGTCACACTGAAGAAGACTACTTATTTAATGCTGTTCTTTTCACTTATAGAACAAGATTTCATTGAAGCACTTAAAATAAATGAAAGAATTAGTATATTTAGGTTCATCCCTTTAATGTTGGATATGGAGAAGGAAAATTTTAGATTGGTTTATCACCCCCCTTTGTAAAATGTCAATGTCAATGTCAAAGATACAATCAGTTAGAAAAAAGGCAACTCAGAGTGAATCCATTTAAAAGAGGGCCAAATTTTAAATAAGGAAAACATATTTAGTTCTTTATCTTAAAGATGTAAAATGAAAACAATGAAAATAAATTTTATAATGACTCAAGTGATGATTTGGGAGGAATACTGCCCAAAAACTGTACAAAATCTTTCATAGATTTACCTATTTATAGAATAAGCGTAAGAGGTCCTTTTTGCAAAAACATTCACTCTTTATCACTTTGCCAATTTTCTCAACCTAATGTTCTTCAAACAACTTTTTTGAAGCACCCTGTCTGATCTTGTGTTCCTTTAATTGCCATAACAGTCATTTGGTACTGGTTTTGATGTAATTTGAACATTTACACGCCATCACTGTTTTCAGGTTTGTGAAATGTTGAAACTTTTTTTTCAAAGATTCAAAATTTCACTTTGCCCTCAATCTGAACTGTTTGTGCACATCATGCAAACGTTCCACGGACCACTGACAAAGACACTGTCCTTGAAACAATGCACTATGACAATCAACAGTGTTTAGTGAGGAGGAATGTGTAAGGAGGGACGACCTTCAAGTGAGTATTTTCACATTGACTGCCTTTGCCTCTCTTAACTGTGGAAGCACAGGTAATAAGGGCCCTCCATATCTACAAATACATTCACAATCAAATACCTTTGGAGTTTTTCAGCCCAAGTGTGGAGAGTGTTGACAGTGGACTAGAGTCTGAGCACTGCCCTAAGAACAAATTTTTTTCTCTGGTTTAGGGAGGAATACCATTTATTTTCCTTCACAAATCTCAAGATTTTTTTATTACCTAGATATGCTTTTTAACCTCGGTGCTTCATCTTAATTTGGCCTCTGTAGGGCAAGAGAACACCCTGCCCCCTTCTCTGTGTCCCATCTTAAACCAGTTTCATGAAACATACACCTTTTCCAAGCTTTGTACCTCCACTCCCCCACTTTTCTTCAGCCAAACTCTCCCCAAATTAATACCTATTACCTCCTAAATGCAAATATTCATAGAACTATCTCATATTTGCGCATCTAATCATTTTTATGTTCAACTGCATATAGAGCATTTCTCTAACAGTTGTTAAATAAGATGGTAATTAAGAGTTTCAATTTCAAATTCAATTTCAATATGAAATCTAGAAAATCATAAAGAATTTAAAAGGATTTTTGTTTTTCCTTTAAAATTAAACAGTTTGACAAACTCAGAAGACAAATAATGAGAATGTCTGGTAGTTAGTGGTAAGTCAAGTGAGTATACCAATGATCAACTGGTTTATTACTCGGCTGACCAGTCTTAGCCACTGTTATTAGTTTCAAATTGTTTTCTTTTTATTGTTAGCTACATGTTATGTAACTTATAATTATAATAGACTCTTGCTAAAAACAGAAATCTTAACAGAAAATTTAAAATACAGATTGGTGAAGGACATAAAAAAAATTATGTTTGCAGATATGCCTCAAAGAGATTGCCATCAGATCTAAGTTTTCTTTATGCAAAGCCTTTTATATTGACATACCAAATCATTAAAAAGTTAGTATTTGAATTATCTTTCCTCAGTCATCAATTAGAAGCAAACACAAAAATTGAAGAGTTCATAATTTTCATATTCTAAGTATGAAACACAAGAACATTAAGTGTTGAAAGCAGTTCTTCCTTTTAATTTTTTAGCAGCTAATTTTCACTTTGCCTTTATATATTCAGTCTCCTAATCACATCACTAATAAACTTAGTTGCTGATAAGTTATGCAAGAAAAAAGCCTTTAAGAAAAATAAATAGTGCATCAGTTGTTAAATGGAGACAAGCCCAAATGTGTATTATTCTAATTTAGGTACATTAAAACATTTTATAATGCAACACTTAAATATGTATGCATTTAAAATTTTTATCCTAATGTTATTTCTTTATTATGCACCCTGAAAAAGATCATTTAAGACTCTTAACAAGTTAAGCTAAAAATGTTTAGAAACACTGGCCTAAAGGAAAGACTATCTGAAATTATACAGATTTTGTTACAAAAACTCGCAGTCTATTTTCTCATATGTAAAACAGAAATGTCACCACCCCAAGAGGAGTTGAAATAACTAACCAAATATATAAAACACTGAGCCTAACACAGAGGCTGATACATAGTATGCACTCAAAGCTTGTTCCCTTTCTCCCTTTATTAACTTAGCTCCTCAACAAAAGGTAGAATTTTTTATTTGGTAGTCTTTTTAGACAACTTAGGTTGTTTATTTTGGTATTTTGCATAATTTTGCCTTGTAATGCTGATTTATTTCCCAGGTTTGATAGTTAAAAATGTTTTGAGAATTATTAAAACAAAGTAAGTCTTCTGCTACAGGTGCAGTATTTTATCACAAAAAGATAAGAAAAATAGTTAACTATATTTACACACCTAGGCAGAAAACCCTACTCGTACATGGTTGAAGGGAGTACAGTTAAAAGAGGGCAGGGGCGCCTGGGTGGCGCAGTCGGTTAAGCGTCCGACTTCAGCCAGGTCACGATCTCGCGGTCCGGGAGTTCGAGCCCCGCGTCAGGCTCTGGGCTGATGGCTCAGAGCCTGGAGCCTGTTTCCAATTCTGTGTCTCCCTCTCTCTCTGCCCCTCCCCCGTTCATGCTCTGTCTCTCTCTGTCGCAAAAATAAATAAATGTTGAAAAAAAAAAAATTAAAAAAAAAATAAATAAATAAAAGAGGGCATACAACTGTAACAGAATGTCTCCAGCAGTAACACAAAAGATATAGGGAAGTGGTCTGATAACAAGGATTAAACAGAAACCTGAGTGACCCGAGTTGGTGGGAAAACAGGAGAAAGTACAGTTTAATCTGAATCAGAAGATGTACGTTTCTACGTCAGTTCTGATTAATTAAATGACCACCATTTCATCTGTAAAATGGGAACTCAAAGTTACTCTAAAGAGCAAATAAGACAGCCTATGTAAAATCATATTAGAAACGTCATGCTTCTATATAAACATCAGTCACTCTTCTACTATATAAACCTCAGCAACCGACCAAGAAAAGTTAGGCTTAAGATACCAATCAGACTAAGATGTCAAAAAGAAGGTCCTCTGTGCTTACAGCAGGAAAATAAAACAACAAATTGCTATTTTGAACACTGAGAAGTACTAAGTTTTATCATTTTATCATTTATCAACAGCTGTTGCCAGGTAATCATTCAGTATTAATAACTGAATGAGAAAAATAAGAATACCATAAAGCAAATATTTGCTGGTGAATGATAATGTACAAGAACCCTAATCATATGGGTAATTTCTCAGGACAGAGGGCAGATGGACATTTCCATAAATCAACACTCATTCAACAAATTATTTGAGTGCCTACTATGTGCTAGGTTCCACACAAGGTTTCCCTTTAAAACTCTTTGTAAGATCATTAATGTAAGCATTAAGACTAGGGCTATCACTCAGATTTCAGCAGGTTCCTAGATGCACTTTACAATTTTATTCAATTTAAGCTACCTTCAAAGAAGCATGAGGAATTACAACCCAAAAGGTAGGAACAGCACATTTACCCTGATGCTACAATGATTAAAAAGCCAGGGCAGTATTAATCCTTTCCTTGTGAAGCTGCACTTTTCCATCTGCAGTCTATGAGCTGGCACGCATCCTCTATGCTTTTATGACCTAAAACTACTGAACTTTAAAAACCCTGTTACCCAAAGATTAATTCTAAAAACGTCAGAATCTATAAGTCAACAGAACATGTAATTAATTTAGTGTGGTCTGATTTCTAAATTTACGAAACCTAGGTGCAAAAAGGCTTAAATAAGGGAATAATCCGTGTCCCTGCTGGATGCTCTCCATCTCTGCATGCCGGATACCGATACTGCCGTCTTTGTCACTATCGGGACCCTTGGCTTCACCATTCAGTTGTACATACATTGAAATCCTCCTGAGTATGCTTATCTTGAGGCTGGCCTTGGCCTAGATCACTAGAAGCTGCCCGCTGCAGCACACAGCAGAATCCTACTGAACACCTTGAACATACAGTATGAAGGTTAAAGTGCACTCTTTTGCCTTTCATCACTGCATGTGGCATAAATTTCCTCCACTTGAGGTCCCTAAGAATTGGTTTTGTATGCCCACCTCCCATTATCTGGGAGGAAACGGGAAAAATGCTTATAAAATGTACTAAAGACCTTATTTTCACCTTAGTTTCATGAATCCAATTTTTAATTTTTTGCTTTCACCCAATGATCAATTGAACATACTCCATCGGTATCCTCTGAAAACCCTGTATCAAGTTTAGACAGAAGTTTTCAGAATTAACAGACTGAATCCCCTATCAAGTGATTTCAAGCAATAACACTTAAGGGGAGCAGGATTAAGAAGTATTATAAAACCAAGATTAAAGTTGAAAAAGCACCAAATACACCTAAAATAGGGACACCAATACCAGTCCAAGATAATACACTATTAATTATAAGCAAGGTTAGCCCTCCTTGCCTAACAGTTTACATAAATGTTATTTACCTGAAGTTGTTCCACAGTTTCTTTGTGAGCTTTTTCCATACTGTTCATCTTTGTTCTCAAATTTGACTCTTGATACTGAAAGTCCGCCTTTAGTTCGGTTAGCTGAGAGATAAACAAGCATATATACATAAATATGTGTGTAGGAAAGTGTAATATATATACATGCACAAACACATTTTCAACATACTTCATTATAAAATCACAATTCATTACAGAAGTGGAAAATGTTAGCAGTTTGCTGAGTCTTATAACCTATTTAGAATTTGTTTTGTGAAATGAAAGCTACTACAGTGTATTTTAATGGTAAGATAATACCAAACTGCCAGTAAACCTTTTGAGAAGATGCCTCTTTTGTTTCAATTTAAAGATGGTTTCACTGGACATAGAGTTTGGCACCTACTATGCCAACAAAAAAGTTTAATGGCCAATACCGGGGAAAAATGCTTCAATTACAACATACTTCAATATTATGCATAAGCAAACTAAATGTTGAAAGTGGTTTCAGGTTAAAATATTCTTTCATGAACAAAAAAGAAGGTTTCACACTGGGTGAAGTACAAAGAGGAATGGTTCTATCAACCATAAGCTATAACTGCTTTCACTTTAAAATTTATGTCCAGAATTATGTATCTAATACCACCTAAGACTTGAAGTAAAATTAAGAACAAAGCACAGAAATACAACTAACATGGAATAAGAAAAGGGAGTTACTTTAAAATTTTGGCTAAATTCGACAAATTCAAGAAAAAAGTCAGTGGTTTGAGAAAGCTACATTCTTTTCTTAAGTATCAGTGGCATACATAAAAATACAAGATATTTATGAGCTCAAACTAAAAAAATAAGTCCATATTTTATCATTTCATTATCAGAACCATGGAGAAGAAAACTTCTGTTTATTTTCAAATGGTTTTCATTACATGAGCTTTAAAGGTTTGCACTTCTGTTTTGTAATTAGCCAGTAACCTCAAAGATGTATTAACAGCAAAAAGAGAAAGGAATCATGGTGTATTATATTCTTATTGTCTGAATAAAAGCCCTTGCTTTTGCCAAATTCAAAGAATAACTGAATTCTCTCTCTGTTTTCTACATTAACAAAGGAATTCCTGTTCTGAAATGTCAATTCACATCAGATCAGCTAAGATAATTATTCTTGTCACTCCACTGTGTGTTGCCTTCAGATTATGAATTTCTGGAAGATAAGAATCAGGTCTTATTTATTTATTCATCTTTGAATCCTCATGATCTAGTACATGGCTAGCTCTAGAAGTCACTGAATAAAGTGAAATAAACTCAAGAAAACGCCTTGGTTATCTTATATTTACATCATAAGAAAAAATAGCAAATATGTAGTTATTTTAGGCTAAGAATTATTATGTTTCTTAGGACACTATTATTTCCTTTCCTGTTAGTGTTTTTGTAAAAAAAGGAATGCTAACAAAAGCAGAAAACTTCCAACAAACTGCACTTACATACAAGAGTCATGGTATGGAAAAAAAATTTCAAACAGTCAAAATTCCACAATTCATTTGGAATGTTTTATAGTCAACTTACGGTTTCATTCAACTTTTACCTAGATTAATACAGATAAATCTTTATGCAATAGCAATGTCTCTAAGATTTTGTGCATAAAATAAATTTCCATAAAAGCTCAGTAATTCAAAAAATTTTGCTAATTAAAAGAACCATAAAAAATATGACAATCATTACTATCCTATTTTTAATCTTACATCAATTCTAAATTTCATATACTGAATTTGCTTAAAGTAAGGTCCAAATGTATTAAGATAAACTTAAAACTACTAACCATCACGGCATAGGAAAACTGTAACACAAAAGTTGTGAAATGCCAAAGGAAAAAGTTCAGATTCAAGCAACACTATGGATACTCAGAGACCGATAATTCATACACATATTTATAATCGTGTCTTGTTCACAATTTTAAAAAGAATACGTTTAATGTTTTCCTATTGCATAAGATGTTTGAAGTAAGTCAAACTAGATAGTCTAAGAGTATAAACAAGTACAAAAATAGGTTCTGCCCTCAAAGATGACCCAGCATCAATAACAGCAGCTATGAACACTCAACATGTGGCAGGAGCTTACTAACAGCTCCTTCATACTTTCATGTAATTGTAACAACTATCTCATGAGATGGTATCAATATTCCCATTTTTAAAATGAAAAAAAAAACAAAAAACAAAAAACAAAAAACTGAGCACCAAAGATGTGAAACCATTCTGTTCAAGTTCACACAAAAAAAGTGTTAGAACTTTTCACTAACCTGACAATATATTTGATATTCTTAATCTAACTGATAAACAAAGTCCTAATAAATACATTTACTTCCTATAAAATGATCTTAGACACCTAACGCTAATCACTGACTACCACACAGGAAATTCCCTTTGGACTACTTTTCACCAGTTATTTGATCTGGAGTGAAATACATACATGATTAGTATGTCAAAGACTCAACTACCCTCTTAAATAATAAGAATTCACATAATACTTCATTTACGTGTCATTTCCAAATGAAGACATCAGGCCTATTTCTACACTACAAGTTTAGTAAAAACTAATGTTCAAATATTACAATTCTAATTAGCCCTCAGTTAATTCTTACAACTAAAATTCTGAAAGACCATTTTTACCTATCTTCACTAGATGGCTTATGTTCCAGTTTGGCTTCTGTAATGTGTCTCGTAAGAATCATACACAATAAACATTACCAAGTTATTGAAGTCTAAAAAAATTTGCAATTACCCAGCAAAGTCAAGATGTAAATCTTACCAGGCTTCAATGAACCATGTCCTTACCTTTTTATCTTTTTCTAAAATGGTCTGGTCTCTCTGCTGTAAGAGACGTTTAAGTGACATCACTTCTTCTTTCAGTTGACTTATAAGGACAAAATTGTCTGTTCCCCCACTATCTGCTGACTGATTTATAGAGCTACTAAAAAGAAAAAAGTAAAACACAGTTAAATGAAGTAGAAGGAAAATTAGCAGGTGTTCAAATTGCATAAATTAGACAATTCCACAAACATCCTTAAGGCTAATGCAAAAAAATATGTACCTGACAGAAATGGATGCAACTGGCAAATTACCTTACTAATGGCACACATTACATACACCTGCAGAAATATAATTCAGTATTAGCTTTTAGGGGGTCAATACTTCTAGTGTAAAGCAATAGGCAGCCAATTTGTACAGTAACATCAGCAAACTTTTGGCTAATGAACTAAAACAAACTCACGCTCATAATACTTTAAATTTAAATACATTTTCCAAGCAGGTCAATTTAAAATATCACATTAGATTTGTGTTTCACTGAAGAATAATTAAGATAAATAGAATGTTCTATTCAGATGTTTTCCTTTTTTTTCTTTTTTCAAAACCCAAATTTATTCCCCAAATAGAACAACAGTTCAGTGCCACTTGCTTATTGCCAAAATTAAGTTAAAATTTTTAACGGATTATGGTTACTCTTCTAGGTGACTCAAAAAAGCCAATGTAGAAGATACATGTTTCTATTCTTTTACCTAGTAATAGCTGGCAATCAACCATAACTGTTCAACTAACTTGAATTTTCACAGCGCTAAAGGAATTCATTTTTACCTATCTCCGTTAGATGGCTTAGATTCCAATTTGGGCTTTTTCTTTGGAGTTTCATTCTGAATTGCTGCAGAGGATTTATGGCTGAAATCAAACATTAATAACAATAATTAGAGTAAAAAGGGCAGAGGCACCACCTGATAATTCTTCTTCCTCTAAAATATTACCGATCATCATTGATTTTTTAAAAACATAAGTAACAAAGTTAAAGGGAAGTCACGTTAAAAAGAAAATACGTCTCAAAATACTTCAGAAAATATGTTAACATATTTACCTCTGTTTCCACAGTCCCTGCTCTTGTTCTGGACTCAGATTGCTGATTCTGAAAAATACATAAATGACATCTAACAACAACATTTATTTAATACATCTATGCTTAACAGCATTCTTCCCAATGGACTCAAATTACACAGGTTTAGAATTTTTTTATTCAGAGAAGACATACTTAAGTTTTCAAACTAAGATAATATATGTTGAATAAATCACATTCTAGTGAGATAACTTCTAATCAAGCAAGTACTACCCATCTTAAATTCTTTAACAAAGGTACAGTTATAGGGATTAAATTCTCTTCACCAGGATAAGGTTCCACAATTATAAAGTAGGACAGTCATCATACTTAGGCTGCCCTTACTTCTTCAGACAGAAAATATTTGATCTTTAAAGTTAAGGCCTTCTTAATAATTCTGTATGAAGATTTCTCCTTTGGAGTAACTCCTGTTGCTCAGAACAGTGTGTCAACTTGAACCAAGAAATGTCTTAATTTGTTTCTTTCCTAGTTTTCCTTAGAACCCTTTCCAAAGTCTCTAGATCTTTCTCTGGTCAGTACTCTGGAACAGTCATGCTGAAAAAAACTGAGAAGTTTCACAATAAAAACGAATTTTACTTTTACTTACAATTAAATGATGTATTATGAATTCTTTCCCATTATGCCATAACACTAATAACCACTTTATAATTCACTATGAACCCTACATGCTTTTCTCCTGTACTTGTGTATCAGCCAATCCTGCACTAACCCTTCGTTTATTGATTTGTGAACAGAGCATCTCCTATGTACCAGATGCCACATATTTATACAATGTAAGGTGTTAGAGAAGACCTGGGCTGTGTGACATTTTGCCAGTTACTTAAAATTCCTGAGCCTTAGTTCCCTCACCTGCAAAATGGTATGATATATACCTTATAAGTGTATGAGACTTAAATGAGTTTACGTACATAAAAGCACTTCACACACTACTTGCGTATATACAATAAATACAAATACGTATATACATTTGTGTGTATAAAATCCACTACTGTAGCTGTAGACGTTTTTAAAGCAAAAGTAAAAAAAGAAAAAGTCAGACTATGTTCTTTAGAATCAGTCATAAGATAAATACCAAGTTGGAGAAATAATGCCGTAATTCTATAAACCTGAGTTACTCTTTATTTGTGGCAATAAATGGCAACCCTACTGAGGAATTCAGTTGCCATTTCTTTTACAAATTTAATTATAAGCATTAGCAAACCATATAACCACACATGAATAGCACTATCCAGATCTCCAAGTGATCTGGAACAGTTGGTGTGTTCTAATCACATTAATAACGTGAGAATAATCACATTAATAATGATTTAAGGAAAACACTTGGAATTCTCATCTTTGCTTTCTGAGATGGCCATTCCTGGATCCAGACTGATCTGTTTTTGTTGTCCTCTAACCCCACCCATTACTATATATTACAATATGTATGCTCCTCATAATTGTTCCAATCTAGTGAACTTAAAATAGGATCTCACAAACTGACTGCCTACTCATCAAATGGTCTATGTCCATCAAATACAAAACAGTATTTTTATTTCTTAAGCAATAAAAAGGAAAAAAAAAATTAAAGGTCAATACCATCCTTATTACCTTTACTTTTGAAACCTGTTATTCTTTCAAAAGATGAAGTTACTGTCACAGAACGATCTTTATAAACATACTCTCAGTGTGTCCTATCACATGCTAAGAAAAATTTATAAAGGACAGAGGAAAGGGATGCTTCAGTTGAGTTTCAGGAATATATCATTATGACAGTTATTTTGTCACATGTTTTCTTAAAAGAGCAGAAACAAGATGTTCATTTTGTTCCCTGGGATATTCTGACAGAAACACCGTAAGATTTCTTCAGAATAGCCAGATGAGAAGTCACTATGCACTCCACTACTGTGACATCCAGAAAGCACGATGACAGGGTACGGCAAGTGGAAAAAATGCGACTGAACATCACTACCTCAATAAAACCTCGTAATAAATGCTTGCCTACAATTTAAGATCAAATCTATTAGAACTATATTATATTCTAAAAATATCACGTATTCTTAAATGTTGTAGGCATCGATTTGCTATAAATGAATTTATGTTTTACCTATCTAGACCTTTAAAGACTCACAGAGAATTCTGGTGAAAAATAAATTCTTCCGAAAATTGGTTATCATGTCACTGTTTTTTCCATTTTGATTTGTATTTAATTTATGTTGTAATACTCTTGATTTTTCCATGAAGACTAAAACCACAGTTCAAACAACTTTATACTACATACATATTACTACAATATAACTTTTTCCTCCCAAGGCATTTTAAAAATCAGTTTAGGGGCGCCTGGGTGGCTCAGTCGGTTGAGCATCCGACTTCAGCTCAGGTCATGATCTCACACTCTGTGAGTTCAAGCTTCGTGTAGGGCTCTGTGCTGACAGCTCAGAGCCTGCAGCCCACTTCAGATTCTATGTCTCCCCCTCTCTCTGCCCCTCCCCTGCTCATGCTCTGTCTCTCTCTCAAAAATAAATAAAAACATTAAAAAAAATAAAAAAAATCAGTTTATATTCAAATAGAATTCCTGCCTGTGTGTTTTAAAAAAGAACAAAGTACTACTAGTTTAAGAGATTATTTTTCATACACTTTTGGAACCTTCACGATTTAGAATGCTTCTATCATGATCACAAATGACAGTCTTATAATTTGTTCTGCAAAAACACTGAACGTACGTATCCTAGTCACTGGTTTAATTAAAACAAGTTACAAATTAATGATAACTGATAAACATAACTCCATATGACTGTGATTTGTATTTATAACTGTAAACATTTTTACAGGTAAAATCCTAACAATTATTTAAACAAAAAAATAATATTGAGGACTTTGATAACATAAACCAATGAAGCATTAACTCTGGTTTACTTGTATTTTGACTTCAAATGATCATAATTTTATATAATAATTCTTTAATGCCCTACCTATATTTTTATGGTAAACAGCTAAACACACTCCTGTGTATAATTTTATACAGGCTTACCTCAAAGATACTGTGGGTTCAGTTCTAGACCATGCAATAAAAAGAATATTGCAATAAAGCAAGTCAAATAAAATTTTTTTTGTTTCCCAGTTGCACATAAGTAATGTTTATACCATACTATATAGTCTATTAAATGTGCAATAGCATTACATCTGAAATAATATACATACTTTAACTAAAATATTATTGCTAAAAAAATGGTAATGCCATCTGAGTCTTCAGCAAGTTATGAATCACTGATCACAGATCATGAGATAAAGCTGTTGGAAAATGGCTGCCCATAGACTTGCTCAACAGGAGTTACCACAACCTCTCAATTAGTAAAAAACAGTATCTATGAAACACAATAAAGGAAAATATAATAAAACAAGGTATGCCTGTACACTGAATAAAGTAGGGAAAAAGCCCTAAACTCAAGATGCTTACTATGTACAATGGAAACTAGTGTCTGCAAAAAGTTAAACACTTGGGGCGCCTGGGTGGCGCAGTCGGTTAAGCGTCCGACTTCAGCCAGGTCACGATCTCGCGGTCCGTGGGTTCGAGCCCCGCGTCGGGCTCTGGGCTGATGGCTTAGAGCCTGGAGCCTGTTTCAGATTCTGTGTCTCCCTCTCTCTCTGCCCCTCCCCCGTTCATGCTCTGTCTCTCTCTGTCCCAAAAATAAAAATAAAAAACATTGAAAAAAAAAATTTAAAAAAAAAAAAAAAAAAAAAAAAGTTAAACACTTATATACGCCATTAAAATGCCAAGAGGATTTTAGAAAACATGACTTCAAAGTACTTACTTGTGATGGCTACTGCTGTGACGATGGTGATGGTGATGATGGTGGTGATGATGTTTTGAATGATGCTGGTCTTTCTCAGTAAGAGATGAAGAAGATGAGTTTGAATGTGAAGATCCCAGGCTCTTCCTCTGTTCTTTTGTCTTCTGTAAAACTCTCTTGTATGATAAAGTACAGAGCCAGCATAGTAACTTTCCATCAACCTTTTTAAAGAAAATACTTGTATTAAAGGTACCTCTAAACTGAGTATAAGTGAAAGCAGGTAAGATAAACTATTCAATTCCTGTGTGCACACTCGTGTTCTCTCTTACACACACACAGTGAGATTGTTGCAAAATGGAAATAAAATTAGACTTCACTGAAACTTCAGAAAACGCTTGTTTGGCATATCATAAAATTGGTGAGGATGATATATGGACCTCCATTAGTTTTGAAGTGTTTTTTAATTTGGAGAAACTTTTCTTATTACAAGGAAAAAAGCATAAATTGATAATGTGGTTCAAAGATCTTACCTAAGCACTGGCCTGAATTCTTAATTCACTGTGTACTTACTAAATGACACAGTAGTTCCCACCACAGTGAAAACTGTTAGTTTTGGAAACAAGGAGAGCATAAATGACATATACAGTTGATTCTCATTATTCTCAGGTTCCTATTTGCAAATTCACAACCTACTTGCTAAAATTTATCTGTAATCCCCAAATCAACTTACAGTGCTTTGGGGATCATTCATGAACATGCACACAGCAGCAAGAAATTTCTGTAGCCGGAGAGCAAATGTTCCCTGCTGAAGTTTAACAAGGTGACACTCTGCTGCCTTCTTTCAGCTCTTATACCATAAACAAGTGTCCTTTGCATGGTCTATCTAGTGCCATGTTTTCTGCATTTGTGCTTTCTATTGATGATTCCACTGCTTACAATGAACCCCAAGTGTAGTGTTGAAGTGATGTATAGTGCTCTTTAACACAAGAAGGCTGTGATGTACCTTATGTAGAAAATACACATCTTGGATAAACTCCATTCAGGCATATAGTGCGTTTGCCATGACTTCATTTAATCAAACAACAATTTATATCAAGTAAGATATCTTTGAAGAGAAGTATTCACAAAACAAGATTAAGTATTGATCAACTAATCACAACATTGTGACCACAGGCAAGAACCTAATCCTGTACTGCCCCCTTAGGAGCAATAGTTCAATATTCGTTAATTCAGTGTTTGCAGCAATTTTATAGAACCTAACTACCACAAATAATGAGGATCAACTGCACATGTGTCAAGCGGGAAGGGAAGAGACTTTTTTCCAAAATTAAGACTAAACCTGTAGAAATAAAATTTTCTTTCTTCTACTTGTTCACACAGTAAGTGGTGGAGGAACATGTCTTACAACTAGGGTACAAATACTGCTGTGGAGGAACCTGCTTCTCAAAGAGACAGTCATCCTCCAAATCAACTGAAATTGACAGACAACAGGAGGCCTGTGTGAGTGCTGATCAGCAGAGGAATGCCACAGGCATACACATACTTTTTAAGTCACTGTAGGTAGAGAAAAACAAACAATGGTTGAAAACTAAGCCCCGAATCAAAAGGCACAAGACTAACTTTGAATTACACATGTTAATGTGCCATCAGGTATTTTTTCACACCAGCAATTTCATGTAATCAGCAAAAGGGTAAGTAGCTGAAAGGATTTAAAAGCAATTAGTAATTCTGAACAAGACGTTGGATGACCAAATGGTACAGAACAGCCATCAGAGAATATTGCTTCAAAATACAGTAATCTCAACTAATCAACACACATTGTATGTGATGCAACAAGAAGAAAATGCACTGTCCCTACTCTTCCATCTAACTACTTGTTTTCAGGGACCCAAAGGACACATCAGGTATTAGTGCATTCATCACAATAACTTCCCACCTGTGTGGTGTTTTAGTTAATTCTCAGAAGATATCATACTATAAATACCTTTCTTCTTCCTTCCTCCTTTCGATCAAAAGCACACTGTTGTTTGCACTGTTCACAGGTCTGAGGTGGTCCGTATTTTTTTTCTGAATTTGTACAACGCTGACACTTTGTACCAATAAATGCTGCAATTATGTTACAGTATTGACAAGGCTTAGGCTGAAAAACAGATACACACTTTTACTACATTTGCTCAGTAAAACATAGACCAGTATACAATATATTTCTGGGACTAATTAAGGAAACAAGTAAAAAAATTTTGTCAGGTATGTCGCCCTCTCATATTTAACAACATTTATCATGTTTCCTATTTATGAACATTTATTTTTAGAGTCATGCAACTTTTTCTTAACTCTATTAAATAGTTACATAAGATCATGGAAATGTATTTATGACTGAATAGTATATTATATAAAAGCTACATGTGACAAAGATCCCGAAGACTGAAAATAAAGGTACATACTGATATAAAAGTTTCCTATATTCAGCATTTAGGAGAATGAACTAATTTCATATCCTGGTTAGCTTAATTACTCTTTCATTTATTTAAAAAAACACTTAACAACTTCATCATCTACAGGTAAAGATGATGAAAAGAATATATATTATATGTGAGCTTTCAACTTAAGAACTGGCACAACCATATTCAACCTAAATTATGATAAACATACCTTGATTTTCTTTGATACTCAAAAGACAATTCAGGATTTTACAGAAACTTAAGGCCAGCACTTTGGGTAACCATGACTTTACTATACTATGACTGTAATATACACATAACACAAAATTTCTTCTAGAATAATGTCAAGATTTTGTGAATAAATGCCTAATTGTGCTGTTATATAAAAACTGTCAGAGGTTCTGAAGAGAGGATAAAAGTGTGATTATGCAAACTTTAGATAAGTGGGTTCTCCATAACGAAAATTTTGTTTGCTATGTTTGAGTCTTTATGGAATAAAATCATAAATTTCACGATCAAATTCAATATACACGTGTCCACAAAATGACTGTTAAATGTTGTCATCTTCCAATGAGACTATCTACAGAAAACTTCTTTCCTGAAATATTTCAATGTGTTGAATGTTTAAGGACATAGCAATACATATTTTTTACAAGGTCCGTCTTTGTGAAAAATGTTGACTAATAACAATAACAAAATATAAAAATGTAAGACATACTTACTGTGCCAAATTGCTTCACATTTTGAGCACACTTCTTACATATTGTATTAGTTTTGCTGAAAAGGAATTGAATATAGATGAGCAAATTTACATAGCTGAGGTAATTAATACACCACTGGACTAAAGCAAATATAGTTTGGATTTCACTGTTTGCTTTAGTAGTTCTTAAAACTTACTCTAAAATAGACCAAAGATCTTTTTAGGGACGTGTATTATCCAAATTCAGTCCTTATTCATTAACTTTAGATAAATGTCTTTTTACATTTTCATCATATATTTCTTGGTATGGAAAACAAAACCCCCAAAAATCCTCGTGTTTTCTATCCAGTTCCAAAATCTTCACATTTGCCACCATTTATGGACAGCATCACATCTCCGTGCCTACCTAACCTTCCTCAGGGTCTTGTCCACTAGGATGATGCCAGTATCCACACATGAAGAAATTATTTGTCCTTCTCTTTAGGCTACTCTCTTGTATGTGCCCCGATCCTTAACAGGAATCACCCTCTTAAAAAGTATGTACTGTTCTTCTAATGGTAACAAGTTACTGGATTTCACCCTTGGAAGGTAGTTGGTAATATTATAGACCTTTCCTCATGTCCATGTCATCACTAATGTTTTGTCTTTTTTTTTTTTTAAGCTTCATAGTAACTGTTTGTATTTCCATTTTTTGACAGCAAAGCTGCACATTTTCCATGCAATCATTTATTCTCCCTCTCTTCATGTCTAAACTGAAGTCTAGGTGACAAAAAGACCATTTTTTGGCAACACGGTCTCTCTCACCACACATAAACGGTTTACAACTTAAAATTTAAGAAGCTAAACCATTATTTAAGAACACTTTAATACAAATACGGGACGACAACCCCCAAGTGTTCCTTACAGACAGTGCTGTCTTTAACAATCAAAAACTGTTCGGTATACAAACCTCTCTTGTTGAAATTCTGATCTGCAGTAAGTACATTTTACAATAGGATGCGCAATCCGACATTCCTGTAATAAGACAATATATTAGTGTCTATCTCAAAGTCCCAAATTTCACTTTTCTGGTAGAATATTATTACACAACCTAAATATCTCTAAAACATCAACAATACCTGTCCCCCAACGGACCCAATTGAGTGATTTATCATGTAAGTGGTCAATTACAGCATACTTCCTTAGGGAAGGCATAGGTGTCTTTGTCTTTATTTGATGTGGGGGTAATGCTACAAATAAATTAAGAAAGCTGTCAGGGCCGATTTCAAGGGTTGGTTAAATGTGAAACTACTTAATATTTTGCACCGTTGCTCACAGACAGCATCCCGGCTTTAATGGGATGGGAGGAGCTCCAAATCATAGAGCATTCTGTCCCCAAACCAGTCGCTTCGCTTTCCTGGACAGGGAAGAAGGATGCCATCAGCTTTGCGGCTTCAGGTTCCTAGCAAGAAAGTGCAAAAACCGTCCCCTGCCTCCCGGTGGAAGGAGAGGACAGACCAAGCAGAAAACCGAGATGAAAACATCTCCACCCCAGGGTCTCTGCGGCATAGACAGGTGGCTGCCTCCTCACTCAGCCCCACCCCTGAGACCCCTGAATGTTGTTGGGGCCCGGCCCCCTCCTGGGACGCCTTGGAAGAGGGCAAAATTTGGTCTTCCTCTCAGGGGCCTTTCCCATCTGATGCCCACGTCCTCGGATAAAGGGGTCCCGGCTGAGGAGGCGAGAGCTCCAAGCTCCGAAGGCGCCGGCGAAAAGAGCCGGGCTGCAGTGCAGCGGACACCTAGCTCCCTCGGGCTCCGACCAAGGAAACCCCGCCCGCCCGCCGCCCAGCGCCCACGGACCTTGCAGAGCTGCTGGCCCTGGGAGAGCTCCTCGAACGGATAGCGCTGGGTACACTTGGTGCAGGCATACAGGGCCGAGGCCGCCATCCTGCTCCTCAGTCTCCTCCTCTCTTCCACCGCAGCCCGCTCCGAGGCGGGGCCCTACGGGGAAGTCGGGCGCCGCCGCTGCCGCCGCCGCCCGGGCCGCGGGCTCCTCCTCCTCCCCCTCCCCTGCCTCGCGCCCACCAGAGCCTCGGCGCGAGAGCCCAAGGCCCTGCGGTCGACACTGTCTCCCTCCGCCTCCACTTCCGCCCCCAGCCCTCTCAGTGACGCCGTCCCAGCCGCTCCCGCTTAGGCCCCTATAGCGGCGGAGGGAGACGAAGAGGATACTTCGATGCGGTTTAGCTGCGCGGCAGCGGATCCGCTTCCTTCTCGGCCTCCCTTCCCCATCTCGGATTGGCTGGGAAGGCTACTGCGTCACTCGGTCGCTCCTCCCAACCCCTAACCCCGGGTACGCAGGGAGCTCCCACAAAGGGAGGAAGTTGCTGGCCAATGACAGCCCGACGCTATCAGCGCGCGAAATCCGCTTCAAACTCGCCCCGCCCAAAGCCCTCAGTAGCTGTATCTAGCAGCCAGTCGCAGGTTTGAGTGAGAACTCCCCAATCCAATTGGACAACTGTTGACGGAGGTTTACTCTCTGCCTCCAGTCTTTTTTTTCCCTTGACTTCCATTGGACCAAACCACTAAAGCCCCTCCTGATTCTATTTGTTATTGGCCAAAAGCTAAGTACTTCACCTGGAGAGGCGTCTCTGAGTGGGGCTCACGCTCTCTCCGGCGTTTAGTTCAAGGGAACTGATGGAGTGTTTGAACTTCGCATTCTCTTTCATTCAACTTCAGTCATTCGATTCAATTGCCACTGGAGACACCACAGCCCCAGGCCCATGTTTCCTCCTACAGGAGGCCCGCCCCTTTTGTACAGTCCCGTCAGAGCGGTCCGGTGGCCGGCAGGATTAGCGGACCCCACAGCTTCTGCTATGCGCTACCTTGTGACGTCAGCGAGGGAAGAGGCGGATTCTCTCCTACTACCGGAAGACGTCCGCTTTTTTGATTGGCTATGCAAGACGTCCGTTAGGACGTTGTTGCCTTTCTCGTGTGCACCGTGAGCGCGGGCGTCCCCGTGGGGGGTGTGCGCAGGGGTTCCCAGACCCAGCACCAGCGCCCCAGCCCCTTCCATCAGGGGTTCGGCTTAGGGTCGCCCCTGGTGGGCGGCTCTTGAATCTTGGGGAAGAGCTTGAGAACCGGCATCCCCCCAGGGCTGCGGAGGTCCTTTGGGGAGGCAGGAAGATGGCGGCAGCATCGGTCTCTGCGACTTCTGGTTCTCAGTTCTCGGTAAGAAGCGGTAGGCGTTCGAATAGGCTCGGACCTGGCGCCTCTGCTTTTCCTCACCCTTCAGAGTGCTCTCGGCCCAGAGTCTCACCCCATCCTGGGGAACGGCCGGGAGTGCCTGGTCGTCCGTGCTCCCCTGACGTCCAGTGCGCCTCTGTGAAGGCTGCACCCTTAGTATCGAAATAGGCCTGGCCCGCCTCCATCCCTTGTGTTCCCCTCACCTTCCGGCCTAGCAGGCCAGGTTGCCGAACATTGCCAGCATTCGCTGGGATGGCTGCCCACGCCCTGGCCTTGCGAAAACGGTGCTGCTTTGGTCACGTGGGTGTAACGGCCCCTTTTGGAGAGTCTCCGAGACCAGGTAGGCGCACGGGTTGGCTTCATTGGCGGCGGCTGCATAGTCCGCAGCCTCAAGTGCTTACTCGTTGCTGCTTGTGCCGATTCCTTGCCTGCAGTGCTTCCCCTCGTACATTCCCAGTAACTTTGTTCTCGCTGGTCTTAACCCAGAGCGCGCGCGTCCGACCGCCAGTGTTACTTTGACTGCAACGTGTACGCGCCGTTTTAAGGGCGATGGGGGAAGCTGAGCCTTAATATTGTTTTCGCCTCCACAAGGGCCACCAGCCGGTTCAGTCACTTATTATTTGTCGAATTGGGGTGTCGAATGCTAACTAAGCGTTTGGGGATCCGCCGCATTGGGAATAGGCAGGAAATGTGAAGTGGCCAAGGGAGCCTTTATGTCTTCAGTTAGCTAATGCTGAGTGCCCGGCGTACTTTTAGGCTCTGAGATTGATTACCCAGGTGAACAGGATGGAATCCGTGCTGTGAAGAAGCAGCCACTGAAGAGAAACTACCTGTAATCAGATTGTTCCCCAGTTCTGTTTGAGAACTGCTGCTCTACTAGAAGGACCTAGGCAGGAGTGGTTAGCAGCGCTTGGATAGGCTAGAAACTGTTTTCCTAGTAGGGGAGATGGAGCTAGCTAGCTGGGTGGGGAAGGAATTGTAAATGCTGGTCACCAGAACTGAAAAGAAGAAAAAGGCACCTCGGGCGTTTCTGGGTAGGTGCCAAGGCAATAGGAGCTTTGGGGGAAACTAATTTGGGATGAGCAGAGGTCGTGTGGCGGTAGAGTTGGGTTGAATTGTGGCAGTAGGTGAAAACATGAGAAAAGAGGGATGGGGAAGGAAACAGGAGATTATTAGGGTAAAGTTATGTCATAGACGCTAAGGGGGAAAGTTTAGGGAGCACTAACAGCAGAGTTACCTTGGGGAAGACAGTTTTCCTCAGTTTCACCTTTTGGTGACTTAAGATTTGCCCTAACGAGCCCAGAAGTAACTCAAGAGTTTTAGCAGAACGGGAGTAACAAGTGTGCAGAAGGGAAGGGAAGATTAAGGAGAAGGAATGAATGAAGCACTTAGAGTTTATTCAGGAATTAGGTCAGTGAAAGGGAATAGAAAAAGAGGAACTATTAGACTATTAGGAGGAAGTATGTGTAAGTAGTTGGATGAGATTATATAGGAGTTGTGGTTAATTGGGAGAAGAAGGCTTTTCCCTGCTTTCAAAACGCAGACTGAGCGAGAAATACTCCTGTAAATGTTAATTGAGCTGTACTTTGCCAAGTCCATCTAGCTGTGCACGGGTACTAGGATGTGGTGTCAACCCTTGACCCCTCAGGTAGCCTGGACATAAATTTCAGAGAGTGTTCAATAGGAAAGCACATATGTTTTTTACATGCTTAGTTCAGCTTTAAAGTGGATTCTAAATATCAATAATATACTTTTCAAATATCTAGGAACTTTTGGAAATCAAAGTGTAACAACCGTCTCAATTTGACTTGCTACATCAGAATGTCTAATTTGAAAGTCACTGTCTCAAAACAAAAATGACTAAATTTAGTTTGTCAGTGTGTAAGAAATGGCCCTGCTTAGACACTTTAATTGTCCTGTCAGAAATAAGGCTGGCATTTCCAACAAAATTTAAAAAACATTTTAGCTTAATAAACAGATGATCATAAAATAAGGCAACACAAAAACACCTTTTAAAACTACAGCATAAACTCAGAGGCTACTCATATTCAGATTTTGGGATTGTGAGCATTAACAATTCATTTGTATTCAACGCTGATAAACCCAGCTTGGAGCTAGCAAATAGTGCTAAATAGAGGTGCTTTTGCTAGGCAAGGATTTTAACAGATGCGTTCAGGAGGAAGCAGCTACCATGTAAATCTCAAATGTGAACAAGATGGAAACAGGTGATACATTCACATCGTTTTGTTGTTTTTTTAAGTATATTTTGCAACAGCAAGACAAGTAACAACAGCAGGTAACTTTGAGTGATTGCTATCATTTTCCTAGTGGCTGGCTCAGGAAAGCAACTGTGGTTGGCGTAGTGATTTTCAATGGAAGTATAGGCAGCATAGTGTTGAAGACTGTCTTTCCTGCCCGTCCCTTTTTATTTTCCCAGTAACCGTAGTCAGAACTCTTAAGTGTCACTTTGGATTTAATAAGCTAATTTTCCTAACTGGTCTCCGTGGCATTTTAGCCAGGCCCTTTAACTCTTTCTTTCTCTTAAAAGTTTTATGAATATAACACAGATTCTTATAACATTGAACATATAAAACATTTATTTTGGAGAATAATAAAATGAATACCTTTATGCCCCTTTTTGCATCTTCCTGCTTTTCTCTCACATACACACCACCACTATACGTTTTGAGATTATAATAAAATAAACTTACAGAGCACTAACTGGCAGTCATGATTTTAAATGCTTTTCATATATTAAGTCTTTAGTATTTCCATTTTTGAATGAGGAACAGAGAGGTTAAGTCAGGATGACACAACTAGTACATCATAGAGTCAGTTTGTTCACTAGTTTGCCAGACATTCAAAAAGAGTTCTTTTGTGATCATTCCTATATGTTCCACAAGTGCAACAATTTCTCTAGAGCAGCAGTTTTGAAGGCATGTTCAAAAGACCTTTGGGAGTCCCTAAGTCCCTACAACGGGATCTACAATTACCTTCCTTACCCAGCCACTTTGTGGGAGACCAGATTTTCTTAAACGTCAGCCAAAATAACATCTAGCAGAGTGAATGCAAAAGCTAATCTAAGAATCCAGCAGGCTTCTTTTACATCAAGAATTAAAGAGATTTGTAAAAATGTAAAAAAAAAACCAAACTTTTCATTGAAGTTTTTGGATGATAGTTATTTTTCATTCAAAAGATACCATATGTTTTCACTCATGTGGATCTTGAGAAACTTAAGACCATGGGGGAAGGGTAGAGGGGAAAAACGTTACAGAGAGGGAGGGAGACAAACCATAAGAGACTCTTAAATACAGACAACAAACTGAGGGTTGATGGGGGATGGGGGAGAGGGGAAAGTGGGTGGAAGACACTAGTTGGGATGAACACTGGGTGTTGTATGGAAGCCAATTTGACAAATTATATTTAAAGATTATATTTATGGTAATATCATGGGTATATTGTTTTTAAATTAGTAAGTATCTTATTGTTTAGGTATAACCCACATGAACAAAAAAGCTGCTTGGGGTCTTTAGTAATTTTTAAGAGTGTGAAGGGGTCCCTAAACCCAAAATGTTTGAGAGGGACAGCAGTGGTTTTCAAACTGCAAGTTGGGCTGTGGCTTATAACTAGGTGGTGGGTGGTGGGATATGTTTAGTGACTTGAGGGACATAATCTTTAAAAAAAAAAAAAAGAGAAGAGAGAAAAAGCTCAGCAGATTTTCTGTGATTGAAATTGCAGGGTCATAGAAGGTGCACCTTTGGCTTTATTTGGTGATGCTGAATTGTTTTCTAAAGCAGTTGTACTAGTGTGTTCCCACCAACAGTCACCTTTAATCCGTATCCTTTTGAACAGGTGGTATTGTCTCACTTTTGAATTTTTGCCAAGAGAAGTGTGAAATGTTATCCTGTTCTTCTCACTGTGCTCCCTGATCAATGTTGAAGATAAGATGCACCTTTTATTTTTTCATAATTTTACTAGTTTTCATGATTTTTTCCCTTCCGTGAAATGCCTGCTTGAGTGTTTTGCCTGTTTTTAATTGGTGTGTCTTTTCCTATTGATTTATAGTCATTCCTTATGTATTCTAGATGTTAATCCTCGTCTGTTAGCTGAATTTTAATTGCTCTTTGGCTTGTCTTTTTAAGATATCTTTTGATGGGTGTTTTTAATGTTCATGGGATAAAATTTATTAGTCTTTTTATGTTTAGTACTTTTTGGTCATGAAAGTCTTATATCCTGTGCTGTTAATGACGTTCTCACACATTTTTCTCTCCAAGTTTTAAAGTTGGAGCCTTTTAAATCCTTAATTTGCTTGAAGTTAATTTGTGAGGTAGGAACCCAGTTTAATGTTTCTACTTAAGATCCACATTTGCTACATAATTACTTGTTAAACTTACCTTTTACCCAGTGGTTTACATTTCTAGCTATCAATATATTGATTTCCATATGGGTGTGTATGTTTCAGTGGGCTCTTTGTTCCAGTGTTATATTTGTTTCTCCTTGTGTCTATACTCACTGTCTTAATCATTCTCCTTTTTGTTTGAGAGAGTACCTGTCATCCCTGTTCTTTAGAGAAAAATGTTAGCAATTCTTGGCCTTTTGCAGTTCTTTAATAGAAATTATAAAATCTTCTGTTGGAAATTGAGTTGAAGTTGTATTGAATTTCAGGTTCAATTTGGCAATAACTGAGGCCTTTAAGATATTGAGTCTTCTGTCTGAACATATTGTTACTCCAGTTTTTTTTTTTTTATCTTTAACATTTTTCAGTAAAGTTTTATAATTTCAAATCTTGTGAATCATTTATTAAATTTGTTTTTAGTTTGTTTTTTATATGTTTTCATAAATTGTATTTTATAGCTCGTATATAGAATTAGTATTCATTCCTTTCATATTAACTCTACTCAGCAAGTTTTCTTAAACTCAAACTCTTTTTTTTTATTTTTTTAAGTGTATTTATTTTTGAGAGAGACAGAGTGTGAATAGGGGAG